TGACGGAGTGATTCAGGAGTTGGAAGAAGTGAGGTTCGTTCCGCAGTTATCGAAGAACATTATTTCACTCGGAGCTTTGGTGGCATCTGGCTATAAAGTGACCTTGATGGATGCACGTTTGAAGGTCACATCGGGGTCCAGAGCTTTGGTGGCATCTGGCTATAAAGTGACCTTGATGGATGCACGTTTGAAGGTCACATCGGGGTCCATGATTGTGATGAAGGGCGTCAGAAGAAGCAATTTGTATTATTTGCTTGGAAGCACGGCGATTGATAGGGAGATGACAACTTCATCTGATTCGGCTAGACTGTGGCGTTGTTTGATGCTGGGTTATTTGATTGGTAATACCATACATAGGTTATTAAGGAGTGCTTTGACCTGCAGTTTGAAGTTCTGTGAACCCATTGGTATGAGCAAGAAGACCGAGGTGGAGTTTGGCACTTCTATCCATCATTCGAGGGGTCTGCTGAGGGTTGTTCATTCAGGCATTCGGGGCCTTCCAAAGGAGCATCATTGGGAGGTAATAGGTATGTAGTTTCCGTAGTTGGGGATTGCTCTAGGCATTGGTGGGTTGCAACCAAGTCCCGTTGGTGTGAAGTCCTAGAAGCCCGCAACAGATGGAGGAAGTGTATTGGCAGAAAGGTGAAGGTACTTCAGTCTGATATTAGAGGGAGGTATAAGAGGGACCTATTTATGCATTTGTGTCGAGCTCATGGCAATTGGAGACACTTCATTGGTGTGGAAACTTTAAGGCGACGAGATGAGATGGCAGATTTGGGGAGCTGTTCCTTTCTGGAGGAGGATCGGCGTTTGATATCGAGCAATGGCATTGGTGTGCGGGCTACGACATGTTTGGGCCATCTTATATATAGGTTGCCGACTGCTGCATGTAGAGATTTTGGATCTGGTGGAGCTGCTTCAGATTTTGGGTTGCGTCGGATGTTTGGCTACCCAGCACTTGGTCACATCGTGGATGTGAGATTTGATCTGATAGCACATTTGGGATTCAGAGGCGTGTTTGATTATTAGGTATTGGCCTCTGATTTTGTTCTGAGCAGGTATGTCATGTTTAACTCTCGGCAGGTGGAGAGTGGTGATTAGATCTTTGGGACATCGCAGCGGGTGGAGAGTGATGCTACTCCACGTTGGGTGGAGACTTCAGATCATACTGTATCATTTGAGATTCCAGCTGAGGTGACACAGATTAGGGATCATTTGGATTTGGATGCAGATGATGAGTTGGATTCGAGTGCAGCTAATAGATGTAGTCTGGATATGGCCATTTGTTCACCTCAGATGGAGGTGTTTGATTTGTCTCAATTTAGGGCCATTGGGAGTGCTATCAGTTGCAGATCATATGGTGATATTGAAGAAGAGTTGCAGACTTTTCTATTTATTTGAGGGCATTTGGAGGCCATTTGGTTAAACTACGTTCGGCTTGATTCCTTGGGCAAGAGGATACGTAGGCAGTCTTTCAGATGCAGCCGGTTTAGATTAGTTGATTTTGATGGGGGTGAGACCGATTTGGTGAGCGACATCAACATTTAGGGTGAGTGTTCGCACTCCCATTTGGGTCTCAGCAAGTGAGGCATTTGGTGTAGCCGGTGTAGGCTCAGTTCGATTTGGTGAGTAGACACTGTTGTTTTGGGTGAGTGTGCGTGTAAAACCCCGAAAATTTGAATATAGTGTGATAAATAATTATAAATATGTTATATGATGAAAATAATGTATTTTTATGTTTGAGTATGATAAGAATTGATTTGAGATCAATTCAATGCATATTTGTGAATATACGAGTGTAAATACACAAAACATGCACAAAGGCAAATAGTGAGAATCTGAGAATTTTGACCAGTTGAGAGTTTTTATATTTTTCACACTGATTTATTTAGAATCTGGAAAAGTGTATAAGATCAAAGTTGTAGGTCTCTTCAAGAGCTTTCTAACGAATCTTAGATCACCTCATTCCGAGATCATATGAGAAAGTTATAGCTTTTTCACCGAACCCCAGTCTGAGAATGACCCAGGAACCTGCGCAGTCGACCGCCGTGGTCGCTGCGGTCGACCGCGCAGCGAACCTGGTTCTGCCAGTTCTGTTTCGGGCGGGTTTTGTTTATACCAAACCCGATTGCTACCCTAAGTATATATACTCGTTTTGAAGCTCTCAGAACCCTCTATTGAACCCTAATAGCCCCAGCCCCCTTCTCTCTCTCCTCTCAAAACCCTAGCTCGGTTTGTGGCATTTTTGGGCGTTTCGAAGGATTTTCGGTGGAATTTCGCGAGATTCTTGGTGGATTCAGCGAGAGGAATCATTCTCCTACAAATCTAGGGCTTGGTTCTCATCAGAGGCGAGTAACATCTCGCCCAACTTCACCCCTTTAAGTTTTATGCTTAGATTTGAGTTTTTAATCCGGTTTTTATTGAGCCCAAATTGTATTTTGTGTAGATAAAGTAGATCTTATGGCATAAGGTGCAAAAATCATATATTTTAGTGTTAAAAAGTTCACTAATGATGTTTAATTAATGAGATCTTGATCTGAAACGTTTTTATGAGGATCTGAGTTTTGATGCAAGTTTACTGTTTTATAACTTTTAAATCATGTGTATAGAAGTTCACAAATCCTAGAGATGATTTTTTTGTTTTCATGCTAGATGTTATTATACGATGATTCATATGTATTAGAATGTGTAATATATTGTTTGGAAGCATGAGTGTATTGTTTGGATCGATTTTCAAAGCAGAACAGAAATCTGGAAAAAGCTTCTGTTCATTTCGCGGTCGACCGCGTGTGACGCGGCGGTCGACCGCTGGGCGTTCTGTCGAGCAGAACGTCTCTGCCCTATGCGCGGTCGACCGGAGTGGTTTCTGCGGTCGACCGCCGCACTGTTTGTGCATGTATTTATTTTGGTTGTGTATTTTATACGTCCGAGGGGTCGCCTCGATTATCGGACACTACATTGCAATGATAGTGACTTGTCTATTCATGTGAGTTGACACTTTTGACACAAGTTTAGACCCGCACATCGAGACACGTGCGAGTATGGGATATGTATATCTTTCCACATATACCTTTGACAATTGCACCTCTTTACTTATAGTCCATGTGTTGGGCATACATTACTATTGATCCATGTGTTGGATACTCATCATTTCGGTCCATGTGTTGGACACGTATTTTATTCAGTCCATGTGTTGGACATGCATTCACATTTCAGTCATCATGTTGGACATTTACATATTTGACCACGTCTTGGACATTTGTTAAGCTATGAGTATGACACTTATCTGAATCAGGATATGACACGATTACATGAGATTTGGACATGATAGCTACCTAGACAGGATACGACACTTATGTGATATTGACCTTTGACACTTATATGGTTTCGGCGTGACTTTTGATTTAGTATTGAGATGGGTTGTTTCTTTTAGTTTATTATTCATGTATTAGACTTTGGGTTTTGTATTTAGGGATTTACAATTTGAGATACAAGGTATATATATGAGGGTTTCCTTGTTTGGATTATTTCGCTCGACGTACCTATGCTCGTGTTGTAATTTCCTAAATACTAAAACCCATTATTTGCTAGGAGTAATGATTTTAACTATTATGTAATAACTGTACTTTCTGTATACAACGAGCCCTTTCCCTTGGGGTTGGTTGTGATGTTGCTCGCTAGCGCTTTGACGCTCGTTGTCCCTCCCCCTTTCAGGTAACGAGCTAGGAGCCCGGAGAGTCGCAGGTTGATGGCGACACACTTTAGTGTTCAGCTGACTATTTTTAGATATGTTGTATTTTGGAGCTCCACTGTAAACTGTGTTTAGACATTTGAGGGCTTTATTCTAGATGTGTAAAGGCTGTGTGCCTTATTTCCTTTACTCAGACTTGTTGTATTTGAGATTTGTTAAGAACTCCAGTTTATTCATTTCAAACATTGACTTTGTATTCCTATATGTTGGATGATGAAATATTATTTTGATCTCTATCATTTCATCAGTTATCTCTTGTAGTATCTTTTACTTGTTTTTGTACATACACCTATTATTGACTCTACTAGAGTGATAGAATTGTGATGGTAAAACATGTTATTGTACGGTGTGGTGCATGGCAGGTTTGACATTCTTGGTTTCACCTTGGACTGCAGCCTTGCGTGAACCCAAGGGCGTCATAGTGCGCACTCCCGTTTGGGTCTCGACTTGTTGTGGATTGAGTTCGTTGTCGTGAAGGGTTTCCACGACGTCCTGGACGCAACAAGTGAGACATTTGATTTGGTTGGTGTCGGCTCAGTTTTGAAAAAACTTCACCGAGGTGGAGAATTGTGAACGTGGGAGGGCCCACTAACATCACAATCACGCAGAGCAGCAAAGTTCACCATAGTGTGAACACAGAAGTTCACATGGACAATTTCACGGCCCACCCGATTGTCCGTTGTGCTATATATATTCCTTAGGTTTTCTTTTTGGGATGTGTGCAAAGGAGGTTGATTTGTTTGGTTTTCTTTTGGCGGCTGCGGAACAGAAGCAAAGGTGGAGATTTGCTTTGTGGCTGCAGAGAAAAAGGTGGACACAGAGGACTGGATTTTGTGAAGTTTTGCGGCCGGCTGTGTTCAAGTCTTTTGTGCGGTTGTAGAGAGAAAAGTGCAGTCCTTTTGTGTCCTTTTGAGAGAGATTTTGTGTGAGGGATCTGAGAGTTTGTGTGGGGGTTTAGATTGAGTGATTGTAAACCCTAGTTGTATCTCTCCCTCTAATAGTAGATCTCCCCCTCCTTGCCCCGTGGACGTAGGCAGTTTGCCGAACCACGTAAAATTTGTGTTCTTGTCGTGATTTGTAATAGCTTGTAGGATCCCTCGACCGAGAGGAAGAGCTGATATCTCACTTTGATGAGATATCTGGCTTTCGGTTCTTGTTTCCTTTGAGAAACAAGAATTTCGTTGTGATCTAATCTCTTGTTGTGCACCTTGCGCACCGGAGGTGCTGCCGAAATTTCCGCTGCGCACAACATTATCATCATTGCCCATGGGTATCAAATTGTATCGGAAAGGTGCATTGTTCTTTTAACTCGAATCTTATGTTTTCCCTGATTCCATTGCTCTGCAGTTCTGGACGTAAATACTACTTGCATTCTTCTTGTAATCATGTCCATTCTGTTGTATCTGATTAATACTCATCTGTAACCGCAGCGGAATAAATGGGATTTCTTCATGTTCCTTGTTTTAGAGGTGTCTGCCATGGTGATAACAGCTGCCGTAACCATGATAAGTATGTGCATTCAAGAATGGCCTTCTTTGTGACTTTTTTCCTAGTTAAAAACAATGGTTTTTTTAAAAAAACTGTAATTGACGGGGAATAAAACTTTTTAGGTATCAAGACAAATCCAACTGCTCCACAATTTTTTGGTGCCTGGATGAACCATGCTGCTACTCATCACCCGAGAATAAGACTGCTTTGTTTCTACTTCTCTTCACATCTGTAAATTTACCTTTCTCGTGGCTTTCGTGAACTCTTTCATTGTATAAATTCTTGACGTGTGAAAATTAGTTATTGTCTATGTAAATAATTTATGTTTCGCTCTAGTATTTTGGTGAATGTATTATTTGAATATAATTGTATTTGATATTGAAATATAATTAGATTGTGTTGGATATGAATATATTTGGTGTTGGATATGAATATATTTGGTGTTGGATATTATATAGCGTGCAACATAGATTCCGCCAAAAAACAAACTACCGTAACAGAACCAACCTAGACGGAAATTCCGTCTAGGTTGCTACTGTAGCAACAGTGGCAACCTAGACGGAATTTCCGTCTATGTTGCCAACCTAGACAGAATTCCGTCTAGGTTGCAACCTAGACGGTTTTTTATATTCCGTCTAGGTTGTTTTATGTCTAGTTTGATAAATCTAGACATAATTCCGTCTAGTTTGACCCAAACTAGATGGAATCAGAATAGACTGAGCAACCTAAACGGATTTTCGTCTAGGTGGATCAACCTAGACGGGAAATGGAGCAACCTAGACGGAAAATTCCGTCTAGGTTGCTCGTTTTTCTACTAGTGTAAAGGAGGGGAGAAAAAAATCAAGTTTTTGTTACCCTCAAATTTGGAGAGTGAACCATCGCCAAATTTGGAGATCTCCAAATTTGGAGAGTGATTGGAGAGGATTCACTCTCCAAATTTGGAGAGTGAAGGTAGAATTTGGAGAGACTCTACAAATCACTGTTTAAACTTTCATTATTTACAAATTTACCATTTTTAAGTATTTAATTTCTTGAAAATTACCACTTCGTCATCATTCTTAGTAATTTAAATTAAATGTTTAATTTCAAATAATACAATTAAAAATTATTAATCTAATTTTTGAAATAATTATATATTTGGAAAGGTCTCGTTGGGATCTTTAAAATGAAGCTAAGATTAATTATTTTAGTATTATTATAAAATTATTATTTTTAAATTAAATAAATAAGTATCATACATGAAAATTTAAATATGATGATCTATTTAACTTGCCTCATAAGAAAATACAAGCATATATTACAATATTTAAATTATATTCCTTCGTTGTCGTGCATCTGCCATAAATGTTCAATTAGCGTGATCCGAAGCATAAAATGAGCTTCCCTATCTTGAATCTTCCTATGTCGATTAAGGGATCGTCGGAATCGTTTGGCATCATCAATCTCCATCTCTTCAGGTCTTGAAGATTTGTCGTGAACAATAATCTCTGGTTCCGCATCGCGTTCATCCTTCACAGTCATGTTATGTAGTATAATACAAGCCGTCATTATGTCGTGTAGTCTCCGCTTGTCCCAAGAACATGATGGTCCATTGATAATGGCAAAGCGTGACTGGAAAACACAAAAAGTCCGCTCTACATCTTTTCGATATCCTTCTTGCATAGCAGCAAAGAGTTGTCTCTTAGGCCCTTGTGGTTGGGATATTGTTTGTATAAGAGTAGACCATTTGGGGTATTTCCCATCGGCTAAGTAATAACCTGTAAATGCTGTATTTTTTATGGTGGTGTCCAAGATTCTGTTAAAGCTTCAATTAATTCTCAACTTGGCTTTACTGAAGGTACATTCCCCATCAGATACTTGGGTATGCCTCTAATAAGTAAAAGGCTATCTTTTGTGGATTGCAATCCTCTACTCAACAAAATTGCTAGTCAATTTTAAAAATGGATGAAATTCAAAAAACTATCATATGCTGGTAAACTTCAAGTTATTAAGAGTGTAATTCTTGGTGTTCAAACTTTTTAGACATCAAGCTACATCTTACCAACCAGTGTGCTCCAGAGGATTGATGATATGTGCGGGAATTTTTTATGGGGAGATTCCAGAATTCCACTAGTCTCATGGGAAAAAAATATGCACAGGGAAAAGATATGGAGGGCTTGGTATTTTCTCAGCTTCAAATTGGAGTGTTGCTGCTGCATTAAAGAATATATGGTTTATTCATATAAATAAGGAGTTACTATGGATCAAGTTGAAACAAAGTCTGGAGATTCCTGGACCTGGAAACAAATGATCAAGATAAGGGATAAAGATTCGATACAATGTGGAGGAATGGATAATTTGAAGAAGCTCATTGGTGATTGTTATAAAAATACAAAGATCAAGATCTCAGCTCTATATGCTGTCTTGTCCCCTGCTTATCAAATGGTGCCAGTTCCTTGGTACAAAACTGTATGGGAGCCATTGAATTTCCCCAAACACTCCTTCATTTGTTGGTTGGCTGTTCAAAGTACATTGCTTATGCTGGACAAATTACTAAGGAGAGGGATTATTCAAAACAATCAGTGTTGCTTATGTGATGGTGCTGGATTGGAGTCAAGGAATCACCTGTTCTTTGATGTATATACTCGAAGGTAGTTTGGAATAAGATCATGGACTGGTTGAAATTTAAATGGAAAACCTGTAACTGGGAAATGCTATTGGAATGGTACAACAAAAGCTTGAAGGGTAAAGGATTCAAACAGTAGGTTAAAAGAATGGCTCTGAATGCAACTATATACAAAGTGTGGATTGAATGAAACATGATGATATTCCGAAAGAAAAGTAGAGGTGTTGATCAGTTGGTGAGAGACATCAAGTTTGACATTTTTACTATAGTTCTTAACAACAACACTTTGGTGGAGAATAGAGGGTGGATGGCTCTCATTATGATAAATATAGCAAGTGTTGTTGTGTTTTCTTCTTTTTGATTTCTCAGTATTGAGAATCTTGATGTACAAAAAACTTTCAGATTTGGTAAATGAAAATATATTCTTCATTGACCAGAAAAAAAGTAATAACCTGTATCATGATTCTTTCCTAAAATACTATAATTAGCAGGAGAGGAAATACATTGTGCTAGTTGGTCAAACAAATTTGAAGATTATAGTAGGTTAATATCATTGTTTGATCCTGGTAATCCAAAAAACTATGCTAAACTTTAAATGAGCAGGGAAAAAAATGGAGCGATTGATGATAATGAAACTTAAAAAAAATTAGAATTCTGAACTAGAGAAGTAGAACAACGTGACCAACAATTAGCTCTTCAGTGTGAAAGCGAGGATAGACAAATTATGTTGATTGATCTAAGTAAGATCGTCGATCACAGTGAACGTGCTTACTATCAACAAAAAATATTAATAGAAAGGAATATAGAGCTCTATCATTCGACTATTGATTTTCCTCCAGAGGGCCAAGAGGGTTTTCTGAGCTTCTTGGAGGAGCTGTAGGAGGAGAAAACGAATATGGATTTCCCTCTGGAGATCAAGGAGAATTTTCTCAGTTTACAGGAGAAGCGGGTTCTGTAGGAAGAAATGAATATGGGGTTTCATCGAGAGATCGGGATGGAACCAATAGTTATAACGATAATGACTCGTCAGAATTTTAATTATCTGTTATCATATTTTATGTTTGAGGTTTATGTTTGCGACCTATGGTATGTTGTATTAGAGGTTTATGTTTGCTTCATTATTTTATTGATGTATGTTTTGTCACTGTTATTTCAGATTTTATTTTTTTAATATGTTGTATTGCATTATTAATATTGGGTTTATTTTAAAGCTCTCGTCGACACCTTTCTAATGTTATTATTTTTTCCAAATAAATTATTAAAAATAAAGTTATTAATGTAAACTATATGCAACCTTATTAATTTATATGACTTTTTTTGATAAAAAAAAGTGTTGTAAATATAAATACAATGAATGTGGACATTACTAGAAGAAGTCTCTTCACCTACTTGTGACTTTTAGTATTCTCTTCCACATCTATATAATGTAATCCATGGAAGACAAAATGTATTGAGGAGAAATGAAGATGAATAAAATGAGATGATCACTTTCTCCCTATCTCTTTTCTTGTTTATTTACTTTTACATTTCATGTTCGATTCTTACCTTTGATATGTGATGTATGTAGATACAACAACAAGATTACAACATGTTATCAGCACGAAAGTTCTAGCTAGCCGGTACGTAATCGTCCGTTAGTGGTAAAAGATATTTCGGTGTACACATCTTACGAGATAAAAAAAAAGCACAGTGATTGGGTTCGGAGTTTAGCAAGGCTAACCTGATTATGTATCCTGAACCCAACTTCAAGCAGGTACTTATCTTCAAATTGTATCATCAGAAAAGTGACCATTTTTTTATAGTATATCTAGGAGTAGTCATTCATAAACAGACAATTTTTTTTAGCAGCCCTACAAATAGAAGGTTGGCTTCATCATGATCACTATATTTTATACATCATATCTAAGAACATTATGATTAAAAATATCCTTTTCTAGTTGTTTTGCTCGCATTTGTATTACACCACTGGAAATATAAATAACAATATTTCCAATCCCTAGCAGAAGTCTTCTACTTCATGGAACATAATCTTCTATATTTGATATTTCCCAATCACTGTTAAACATTAAAATAATAAATTATTGAGGATAGACTAATTTCTATTCTTTCTTAGGACCAAAGGGTTTTATGAGTAGTTTATTCTACTATCTATTATCTGATCTTTAGTTGGCTTTGTTAGAGCTTTTTCTAATGTATTATCTCATCTAATGAACAAAAGTTCATATAAATTAATTTTGTGGTTTATGTTATATTATAATGCAATTTGCTCCTACATATGTACACCTGGTTGGAACTTCATTTCTGTTAATGGCCGAACCCCTTATTGGGATGATCCAAATGGTTTTTCTTTGAACTTTGTAACATATGCTACATATACATGGCTAAAAACGTAGAATAGATAGAGCATCAATCATAAAAAATTGTCATAATATATTAATTTGATGCTTTTGCTTTAAATATTCTATTTGCTTGCTTGAAGTAAAATCTAAGCCTCATGAAAACATGAGATTAAGTTGTAAGTTTTTAAAGCTCATGTTGGCGTCTATAAGTGGTCCATTTTTTATTTGCTAATTGCACTGATTCTCCTTCTCCGCTGAAATTATGCAATATTAGTTTTCTATCCAAAATTGTCTTTGTGGTGTTTTGAATCTTGCCAGAAGCAAACATTTGAAAGATAACCTTTATGAAGATCTTTAGGAAAAGGAACCTGATAATTTTGGTGATTATATGAATATTTCTAATTTCTCATGCACTAATCTTTTATCCCCATGATTAGTGCACTGTGATATATGATAATAATTATTACTTATTTTTTGACCTAGAATGTTCATTTTTACTGACACCCTTGTGATTTTTGCATGATTATATCTCTTGATTCTTTAAGTATCTTTGCCTAGAAGACAAACACTTTAAATTTTCTAAAGACGTGAAAAATTAAATTCTTCAGTAAAAAAGTATTCACTTTTCTAGGCAATCCCTGAAGGGTCGCTTTGATCTATGGAAGCCAATAATTTGATCAAAAAGTTCTTTTTCCTATTCCACGCAAATAATGTTGTACTCCAGCAGCAGTACATGATCAGGAATTACACTTAGCATTCTGAATTGATATCTACATTAGTAGTCGCAGAGAAGCACAACCAATTGATGATTAGAAATCACAATGTCAGACTAGTTGGCTTACGAGATGTGTTTGTAGCACATGCTATAATTCAGAAAATTACTTATACGCGTGGACAAGGGGAAGGCTATGAACATAGTAGGAGATCTTATCCTGTAGCCATTTTTTTGGATTTTAAATTCTCGACTGAATACAATTCAACAAGTAACATTGTACTCTTACAATAGTACAACTAAAAAGTATATTAAGCATTATGAACTAATCATTGCATTAGTAGTTGTTAAAAATACAACCAGCTGTTGTGAGAAACCATAATGCAAGTTCAGTCATAGTGCCTGAAGCACATTAATATTCATAAGCTTGGACGAGGGGGAAGTAGTGGATCTTATTGAGGTAGTCAAGGTACACTATTTGGTTTTCTATATTTGGATTATATACATTTGTCAGACAATTTTAATTTATCTTGATTTTGCTTTAAAATCTTGTGAACCTATGTGGTTTTTATTCATATGTGTATATTTTAGAATTTGTCTGACCTAAAATACAACATGTTGCGATAAGTTTGAGATTTAGGGACCCAAATTCTTTTAAACTCTGGCATGAGCGATTGGGTCATCTTGGGCAAAATATGATTCGTCGGATTTTTTTAAATTAAATGGGGCATTCAAACCAAATCCGACCAACTGCATATCACAATTTTCCTCCTTTTATCTAATACGTGGTGTAGAAGCGAAACATTTCCCATATGCGTATTCTTTATTTGCAGTCCATGTTTATATATCACCACCATAGCATACCTCTACGGGACTTCGGTGAAGGTACATATATTATTTATGAAACTCCGTCAATAATTTAGTACCTATGGCTCATGTTAGGGGATCAATTTATAATTTGGTATGCTGACTGCATTTCTATTGAAGATCAATTCTTGACATTAGGGGAAGATTAGTGCCCAAAATACAAAATAATATCAAGAAATTCCATTGGTGAAAAAGATCTTCAATATTTATATCCACGTACTAGTCAAACTGAACCAGAAGTTCACATGATAATCTGCTAAGAAAAGAGTGACTAAGCCCCATATTCATGTTGAATATATCATTGATGATTTGGTATGCCAGAAGCATATTGTGCCAGAAGCATATAAAACATGTTAGTGTAAAAGATAAAAGTCTGCGGCAAACTAAATTATATATATAGAAAGACAGTCACTCCCATAACCTCCAGAAGAGGTTCATCCTGAAGTTGGAATCTCCAGTAAATTGCACGTGCACTTGATAATCACAATACTGGAGATGCGGAACGGCCAAATCCAATTGTTAAGGGAAATGACAAGGATTTGGTTGACATAAAATAAGCTTTGAAGTGGCCACGAATTTGTAAAAAAGGAGAAATATATAATAGAAATATAAAAGTTGTCGACAACATAGTTGCCTCTACAGTTGCTCTTACTATCTCCGAAAATAATCTGGATCCAGAACCTAAGTCGGTAATAGAGTGCTTGAAGCATTCGTACTAGGTGAGATGGAAAGTGGCAATTGAGGCTGAGCTGAACTCGCTAAAGTATTTTTTGAACCTGTAGTTCATATATCCCTGCAGGATATAATGGGTCTTCGTAAGAAAAATAAATGACAATTGTAAGGTGGTGAGATGTAAAGCGAGATTCATAGCTCAATGGGTTCACGCAGAGACCCGACATCGATTTAGATGTAAAATATTCTCCTATTAGTGATTGTAATACGTTCCGCAAGTTAATATGGCAGAAACTATGAATTTATATATGCAGTATATGTACGTCATGATCATATTTTTATATAAGTCTTTTATATGAAAGTCTCTGATAGACTTAAAATTCCTGAATTAAGAGAAAACGAGAATCGCAACATGTATAGCATTAAATTATAAAGGTCGTTATACGACTTGAAACAGTCGGGTAGAATGTGGTATAACCGACTGAGTGAGTTCCTCCCGAAGAGGAGATATGCACATAATGATGTTTGTCCTTGTGTGTTGTAGGCGTCAAAAAATGCTAATAGATATCCCAAGCATAGAGAAGATCACTCAAAAATTCACAAGAAAGGATTTCATACTGTTTTGGAAAAATCAAAACAAGTATGAACTGTCTCGCCAGCGAGACAGTCTTTGCTGTCTCGCCAGCGAGACAGTGTTGAAATAGTCAAAACTACATTTGTAACTGCCCTACACGTGTCCATTAACTGCCAAGGGACGTGGGAAACATCATGGGCGAAAATCACGTGGATAACTGCCAAAATAACGGAGTTTGAAACGTGAGAGAACAGTTACAGCGAGAAACTGCCATTTTCCGAGACAGCATTTACTGTCTCGCTGAGCGAGACAGCAAATTTACTGTCTCGCGGGTCGAGACAGCAAACGCTGTCTCGCCCAGCGAGACAGTAAACACTGTCTCGCCGTACTGACTTCTTCGATTGTTAAGTTTTTGCAGTTACTGACCCTTGAGGCTATAAATACCCCCCTAGGGTCACTTCTGACGAGGATCGAGCATTTGTTAGAGCATTCCAGAGCAGAGAGAGCAGAGATTTGAGTTCTTTTCTTGCAACGCCTTGAAATTAAGCTTCGACTTGATTTTAAGAAGAACGACTATCTTACTTCGATAAGATATCGTTTCAATTTCTACTTCGATAACGAAGTTAGAATCATAAGCCCCCTCTTCACGATCTGTGAATCGGCGGTCCACGAACCAAAGCGTTCCCGGCACAGGCAAAGTCCCACGAAAACGAGAATTGATAGACGATTTTCGTGTTTGTTTCTCAAGAGTTGTAATTTTTGTTTTTGTTGTGTAGAAAAAGTCTTATAAAAAGATTATTCTTTCGAATTTATTGTAATCGAACAAAGTTATAATGAATTCCACAGCAGCGACTTTTGAACCAAACATGTGTTTATAAAGAAATTCGAAAATGGTTTTGTATTATATCAATCTATATTGATGATATAAATGTTATTGGAACGCACAAGGAGCTTATAGAAGCTAGCTCATGCCTAAAGACGGAGTTTGAAATGAAAGACTTGGGAAAAACCAAGTTTTGTCTCGGCATGCAGATCGAGCATTTTCCCAGAAGGAATTTTTCTACACCAGTCAACCTATGTGAAAAAGGTTTTGGAAAGATTTTATATGGATAAATCTCATCCACTTAGCACACCAATGGTCGCTCGGTCCCTCGAAGTGGATAAAGACCCATTTAGACCCAAAAAAGATAATGAAGAAATGTTAGGGCCAGAAGTTCCCTATCTGAGCACCATTGGAGCACTTCTTTATCTCGCAAATTGCACCAGGCCTGATATTGCATTTGCGGTGAACTTGCTAGCAAGGTATAGTGCTTATCCTACAATGAGGCAATGGAATGTCGTTAAACATTTCTTTCGCTATCTTCAAGGTACAAAAGATCTTGGACTATTCTATAAAAGAAACCAAGATATGACATTGGTGGGCTATTAGGACTGGCTACATGTCTGATCCTCATAACGTCAGATCCCATACTGGTTATGTTTTTTCTCTGTGGTGGTACTGTCGTTTCTTAGAGGTCTGTTAAGCAGACTATGGTGACTACTTCTTCTAACCACTCAGAGATTATCGTTTTATATGAGACCTCACGAGAATGTGTATGATTAAGATCGTTGATACGACATATTTGTGGCTCGTGTGGTCTAGCGAAAGATGATATTCCCCCCAATGTCCTTTATGAGGACAATGCAGCTTGTGTTGTACAAATGAGCAATGGATATGTAAATGGAACCATGAGAAAACATATTGCGTCAAAATTCTTTTATCCACATGAGTTCCAAAAGAAGGGCGAAATCACCATCGAAAAAGTTCGCTCAAGTGACAATCTTGCAGATTTGTTCACTAAGTCTCTGCCTACATCAACTTATGAGAAATATGTTCATAATATGCACAGACTTGAAAGACTATCTTCTTCAGGGGGAGCAAATTCTTAAAGAACAATCCTGAAGATTGGGCCCTGAAGGTCTATTATCATAATTTGCCCCTTTTTCGCTAAGTTTTGTCCCACTGGGTTTTTCTTAGCATAGACTCAGAAGATTGTCATCATCAAGGGGAGCGAATTTTCAACGTAATCCCGAAGATTGTACCTTGAAGGACTATAGTTGTACTCTTTTTTCCTTTTGCTAAGTTTTGTCCCACAGGGTTTTCTTAGCTAAAGGTTTTTAATGAGGCAACTAATGCAACACAAGTTTGGATCCCGAAGATCTATAGTTATACTCTTTTTCCCTTTGCTAAATTTTGTCCCACGGGGTTTTCTTAGCTAAAGGTTTTTAATGAGGCAACTAATGTAACAAGAATCTACTAATGTCGTGTACTCTTTTCCTCGACTAGTTTTTATCCCACTGGGTTTTTCTAGCGAGGTTTTTAACGAGGCATTAACATCATGTAGTAATGTCCAAGGGGGAGTGTTGTAAATATAAATACAATGAATGTGGACATTACCAGAAGAAGTCTCTTCACCTACTTGTGACTTTTAGTATTCTCTTCCACATCTATATAATGTAATCCATGGAAGACAAAATGTATTGAGGAGAAATGAAGATGAATAAAATGAGATGATCACTTTCTCCCTATCTCTTTTCTTGTTTATTTACTTTTACATTTCATGTTCGATTCTTACCTTTGATATGTGATGTATGTAGATACAACAACGAGATTACAACAAAAAGAAAATATTTAAAGAGTGTGGGTTGGAGCAAATCTTTAAATTCCACTCTCCAAATTGGAATATTCTAGGAATATTCCAATATGGATAGTGGAATTTGGAGAGTAGGGTTGGAGATGCTCTAAGGGGAAAGATAGAAGGTAGGTAAGTGAATCTACAAAATTGCTTTATATTAATTGCCACATTATTTATTTGCAATTGAATAGACCGACTTACCATTTTTGAGAGACATTGTGGTACCAAAGGAAAAATAATCCTTGGATCATTACGCTAACTATCAAGTCCATTATTTTCTCAGAAAGAAAAAAGTGAACTTTCAAGCCTATTCTACTCTACTGATTAGTAAGAACAAGATATTCTTTTTCTTATAATAATTAAGAATAGATAATTTTTTTGATGCAACATAAGAGTTTCTAGATAGTTTTTTTCTTTTCTTTTCTATTATGATAATATGTCCTACCAATAACCTTTTTTCTTTTTCTTCTGCCTTTTTTTAACGAGTATCCTATATATATATTAATGGGACTTTCGGATGGCATGTTTTCTTAGATATAGAGTATCGATTTACTACATGTTTGACTGTAGGGGTGTCCAAAAAGCCCGGAGCCCGGGCCCGGCCCGGTGTCCGCCCTTTTTTCTTTCTTCTGCCTTTTTTTAACGAGTATCCTATATATATATTAATGGGACTTTCGGATGGCATGTTTTCTTAGATATAGAGTATCGATTTACTACATGTTTGACTGTAGGGGTGTCCAAAAAGCCCGGAGCCCGGGCCCGGCCCGGTGTCCGGGCCCGGCCCGGGCCGAACGGTCACAAAGGTGACCGTTGCCCGGTCCGGGCTGGGCCGAACGGTCACAAAAGTGACCGTTTTGCCCCTTAAAACGGTCAAAAAACGGCTAAAAATCGAGGGTTTTTTGGTCATTTACCTAGGGGGTTGCTTCTATAAATAGAGGGGGGGTTTCAATTCATTTTCTCACAACAAAACTCATCTATTTCTCTCTCTACTACTCTCTTATACAATCTTATACTATCTCATACTAATATACTATCCTATAATCTTTTGTATTTTCTAATACTTCCAACAAATGGCTTCTGGGTCTGATTATGAAGAGCAACATGCAACTCCTACCGATCCAGAGATGAGTCCTCCTACAACAACTCCTCATCCTACCGGTGTTAATCCTGAATCTGGTGGCGACGAATCTACGGCACCAAGAGCTCCAAAAAGGCCGAGGTCTGATGTATGGAATTTTTTTGAGAAGATAGACGTCACCAAGGATGAACACGGTAGGATCATCTCTCAGAATGCGAAATGTGCGTTGTGCGGCCAGATATTCAAAGCTCATCATAAGAGCGGCACCAACCATCTCAAACGGCATATTGAAAAACACAACAAAGGCCAAAATCTACAAGGTGATATCCGGCAGTCTATGCTTTCCCAATCATCCTCTTCAGGTACCCTCGGCAGTTGGAATTATGACGCTGCCCGAGCCCGGAAATGCGTAATCAGGTTTATTGTTCTTAAAAACCTTCCTTTTAAATTAGTAGAAGATGATGAATTTGAAGATATGTTTAGAGATGGTTTTTATCCTGCATTTACAAAATTTTCTCGTCAAACCTGTCAACGTGATATTTTAAAATATTATGTTGAGGAACAGGGAAAAATAATTTCTTATTTTAAAAATTTAAACTGCAAATTTTCTTTAACTTCTGATATTTGGTCATCTAGAGTGCAAACTGGTTATTTATGTATAACAGCACACTGGATTGATGAAAGTTGGAAAATGTTTAAAAGAGTTGTTTCTTTTATTGCAATTGAAGAGTCACACACTGGTATTAATGTTGCAAATTTAATTGTTGAAGAACTTATGAAACTAGAAATTGATCAAAGAATATTTACTCTTTCACTAGATAATGCAAGTAATAATAATGTAGCTGTTGATTTTCTGAAAATAACTTTGTCATTGCCATGTCATGGTGAGCTTTTTCATGTTAGATGTATCTGTCATATTTTAAATTTAATTGTTCAAAGTGCATTTTCTGAAATTAAACCCATGATAGAAAAAGTTAGAACAGTTACTAATATGCATAATGCTTCTGAAATGAGAATTAAAAGATGGAAACAATGTTGTAAAAGAAAAAATTATAAGCCTAGACTAATTCCAAAAGATGTTGACCATAGGTGGAATTCCACCTATGCAATGTTATCTGTAGCAATAGAATATAAAGAAATTATAAATGATTTTATAAATTTTTATGCTTCTAGTTCTAGCTCTGGTAGTGCTTATGGAATAACTGAAGATGAATGGACAGTTATATGTAAATTAAATGAGATGTTACAAGTTTTTTATGATGCTACTATGTTATTATCTGGTTGTTATTATCCAACTATTACTTTAGCTGCTTTACAAATTTTAAATATTCAAAAATTTTTTGCAAAATATCGTATGGATGATACTTTTGGAAATATAATTTTTCAAATGGAGAGTAAATTTAATAAGTATTTTAGGCCTATTCCTCATATTTTTGGTATTGGTGTTCTTATTGATCCATGCTTGAAGGAAATTGGCCTTCGAAGTTTGTTACAATCATTATATGGTGGACAGATTATAGACTTAGATGATGGATCCACCCTTACTGCTACTACTCATTATGTAGCTATTAGAAATTATTTTCAAACCTTATATGATGAGTATGCAGCTAGATATGGTGTAGCTACACAACAGTCTTCAGCTTCGGCACCTTCAGCTTCGAGCACAGGTCGAGGTAAAAGTGTAAGTTTTGATAGGTATGCAATGGTAGCTGAACTAACTGGTGGATCTGGAACTTCATCAGGATTAGAGGTTTCTGAAATAGACGAATATTTATCTGCTTCCTTAGTTAAATGTCAAGGAAATGCTTTAGATATTTTGCAATGGTGGAAAGTATATGGATCAGTTTCATATCCTATACTTTCCACCATGGTTCGTGACTTACTATCAGTGCAGGTTTCGACTGTAGCCTCGGAATCCGCTTTCAGCACAGCAGGACGTTTGATCGACGACCACAGGACATGCTTAGATCCGTATACTGTACAAGCGGTGATGTGCTTACAGGATTGGTGGAGATACGAGAAGCGAACACAAGGCATCGAACGGATTGCTATGATTGAAGATAAATTTGAAGAGTTGGGACTAGCAGATAGATATAATGATTAGATAATATTCATAAAATTGTAATTTTTATTTCTTAGCTTTAAATTTGAATTAAATTATTTCGAAAAAAGTTGCAAATGATAGTGATATGGGTGAGTAGGTGCCAACCTAGTTGGGATGTACTCATCTATTGTGATGCGACGAATTTCGAAATAAATTTATACTTGTAAAGGATTTACCGATTATTAATAAAGAAGTTATTTTTATCATTTTTTGTACTTGTAATTTATGTCATTTCATTTCAAGTTATTAATAAAATTTATGCGGGTCCGGGCTTGGGTTTTGCCCGGCCCGGGCCCGGTTTTCCGGGCCGGGCCGGGCCGGGCCGGGCCGGATGGACAGCCCTAGTTTGACTTATTAACCTCACCGTGATGGGATGCAGGAAACCCCTTCTCTTTTTAAATTGGCTTGTTTTCTATTTGGGTAAATTGCAAGTAACTTTCCTAATCTATACCTTATGTCATACTTAATTAACAACCCTCAACTAATTTATGTTGGCTTTGTTGGGAGAAAAGACAATTTGCCTTCAAACAATAGTCTCATATTGTCTAGTGTAATGAATGAGTAGGTGTTTAAATTGATTCTCTTCTCTTTAACCCTTGAGGGTCCCCCAGAGGGGAGTGTTTTGGGCATTCAACTTGTTTGGGCTTTGGATAATGCACGCCTGCGTTGCCATTTTTCGGTTTTGATTTTTTTTTTAATTTTTATTTTTACATGTTTCTTTTGACTCGGCAATAGCAACGCGTAGTTTTAGCAAACATGGATTTACAAACGGGAAGTTAAAGCCCTATAAGTACCTCCTCTAAACCAGTTCAGAAATTACGGTAACGGAAAAAAAAGTTCTCTCATCTGTCTCCTCAAGAACCGAAGTTCTCTCTTCAGTCTAATCCCTCTCCAAAATTTTAATCTTTGTTATTTATTTTGGGCAAGCGTCTTCACCTGAGAAGAAGCTCTATACTACTCTCGCCCGAGTACAGAGGCCGGCCGTTTCCGGGGGCTTTTACCGCTAGGGGCGTCAGAGCGATAGACGGGTCCTCAATCTTCTAGGACAGTGCTTTGCGCGACTGCTACCCGTATCAGGCCTGTTTTCTATTCAATTTATTTTCAAATTTATATACATGCTAATAAGTTCATTTTTTGACAGCAATTTATTGGAACTTAAACTCCGCAATTGACGAAGAAGATGAGTGTTATCTATAATTTATTCTTGTAAAGTGAAAGTCATGCAATTTATTCTTTTAAAACGATAGCCTAGAAGTACTAGGTACTAATATGGGGTTCATTGAATGAAGAGATTTAAGTAGTAATTTATAGAGTTTCTTTACAAGTAGGGATACAGAGGATCTCTACCCATATACGAAGATAAGTTACCTGCGTGGCCTAGGCCTACCTATTAGGATTTCCATGCTCCTATAAGAAGAAGCTAGCTAGCTTCTGTACATGCAATACTAGGCTTGTGATCACTGTTTTATTCTGTGAAATAGACCACCTTTTGAGTTTAATTTTGCACGTTAGAACTTTCTTTCTACAATTTATTCCCAATTTTTTTAATCAACTAAGCAAAACGTTTGGACCCTTTTTGAGCATCTCCAACAGCTTCCCTATTTTCTATTTTTGAAGAATATAGTTAGGTTTTTGGTTCAACAGATTCTCCATCTCATTCCCCAAAATAGGGAGTCTTAAGAAAAAATGAGGAAGCTTCTTCAAATCTGCAGCATTCTTTAAATTTTTGAATAAAAAAAAATGGATTCTTCAAAATGAGGAAGCTGTTGGAGTTGGTGTAAAAATAATTTGGAGAATATGACTTTTGTTTTCCCATTTTGAAAATTTTTTTAGAGAAGCTGTTGGAGATGCCCTAAATATACAAGTCTCGCAAAACATAGGTAAAAAAGCCAATGCATAGTCAGATCTACGTGACTTAGAAAGATGTTTCATCGTGAACATGCAACACACGTGCTCTCAAAAAGTTTTACCATTTAATGAAAACCGAAGATAAGCATTTTACGAGGGGGCCCCACAAAATTTAAAAAGACAAATGAGATCACGACACTCTATTTTTCCCTTATCAGAACCCGTGAGCTCCCTGACTCTTCACAATTGCGGATTAGATAGTGGACACCCTCACTCCACGTCGCATTTTCATATGAGTAATTTTCAATTGTATTATAGTAATGTTAGCTATATACTTATGGTTATTTTTGTATGATTTGCAAAAAATCCCTCTGGCCCTTTCATTTCATTTTCTACAAATTGACGTTGACATGGAATATCACAGCTATTTGTATTCCCCTGCAATCATGTATAAGATTATTATATTGAAATTTGATAATTATATAAAAAAATAGATTATTATTTGAATAGAAGGTGTAGGCATACATAAGATTATTATGTTGAAATTCGATAATTATGTAAAAAATAGACTATTATTTGAGTAGAAGTTGAATTTTTGAAAGTGATGAAATAAAGTACTGTCGGTATAAAAACCAAGAAGGATGTTATGTCATTCAAGAATCATGTAGGTGGTTTTCTAAGTAGGTCTAAATTCTAATTAAGTATACTTTTAAAGAAAAAGAACTGTTAGGAAATAAACTATGCAAGAGATATGAGGTATTTAATACTCTAATATACATTACATCATACGCTTTAACTATAGTTTTATAATAATATATATCATAATATTTTAATTTTTAGGGTTAATTGAAAATAAACCCGCTTTAATGTGACCCAATTGTGCATAGACCCTCCCCCTATTTGTTGCGAATAGACCCCCTATATAGTTCTGTTAGTGAAGATAAACTCCTAATTAGCAATTATTTTGACTTTTAAAAAAAGTCAAAAAAAATTTGTATTTGCACTTGAGCTAATACCGCATGAAGTCTATCTACACAGATAAATCTATAGAGGTATATTCACAATTTAGTGATACTACAGGGAAATCTATTCGCAATTAACCGTTAGTTTTAATATTATTTACACTTAGCTCTATGTCTGGAAATTTTTCACTTTCTAACCCTAGGGGAAAAAAATTCCGAATCTTACTAGTCAACACAGAAGAGATATGGCAAACGAAATCCAGATAACACCAAAATCCAACGCTCTCACCCAATCCCATCCCGCCACGTGTCCCGACAAAATCCAACTCATCAAAAAGTGCACCCTCTTACCTTAAAACCTTTTCTAGGTGATCCTGCCGCATTTCCACCAATCTCTAAACCCAAACCCAAAAAAAAAAAAAAAAAAAAAGTTAAAAACAAGATTCAACTATGAGCTCCAAGAGATCAAAATCAAGATCCAAGAAGAAGAAGAAATCGCCAAAAACCCGAAAACTGCCCAAGTTCATGAGCCTAAAGGCCCAACTAAGCCCACCACCAGAAGCTCAGCCCGCGACTGAACCGCGGAGGCGGCGGGCGAGAAGCCGATAACGATTTTGACAGTTCGCCTGTCCTTCTACACCAAGAAACCGAGCCCACGACGAAGATCAGCGACATCTTCGGCTCATCGGCGTCGTCCGCGTCATCATTCGGCGAGGTTCCGTCGCCGGCGTCATCGTCGGCGGTGGATTTGGAGGAGGAGGGTTTGGCGAGGAGAGCGTTGAAGGGCAGAGAGAGGTGGGTGTTCTGTGAACATGAGGAGAAAGAGGGGCGGATGAGGAAGAAGAACGGGGGGCTGTTGAAGCTGAAGCTTGATTACGAGGAGGTTTGGTCGGCGTGGTCGGATAAAGGGCCGGTTTTTATCGATGGAGAAGCTCCGCAGGTGGTGCCGGAGTTGATGAAGGGTTGGTACGAGGATGATAGCGTTGTTCCCTCTAACGTAAGCTTTTTGAGTTGATCGAAATTGATACGTTAAGAAGTTTTGATTAGTTGTATATATGGTAAATTGCATATGACACCCTTGCGCATAATTTTAATAGTATCTAACATCCTTTGGTTCACGAGCGAGAGGAGGTTTATTTGAAAGCTTATCCTTCCCAAGCTGTGAATTCATTGGGTGTTAAGTACTACTGAAATAGTTAAGGGAACGGTTAAGTGTTCATTAAGATATAGATTAGAATGTTTATATATATATATATATATACGCAATTTACCTGTTATTATTATATCATTAAGAGCTTTTTTAAGAAGATTTTCTACTGAATAACTTATTGCATGCGATGGAGCCTGGAGGCTTCTTGATTTAAGTGATTTCTCTGAGTGAATTGTTTTGATGGGAGAAGAGTTATTAATGATGACAAAGATGATAGGATTTTTAATTTCTCGCTTGTTCATCTTTGGATCTTAATTTGTTACTCATTGAAGTTGTTTAATTTAGATCTTCATATTGATCAATTTATGCTTTGGTTTTTGGTTCTGACAATAAATTAGTAGTTCTTCACTTAACTTAGGTTTGCAATAGATCCAAATATGCTTCTAATCCCGAGAGAGAAGAAAAAGTTCAAACTAGAAGAAAGAGGAGGAAAAAGTGCGAGTACAGGTTTTGAGAATAGTAAAATACTGCATCTTAGAAATTGAAAACTATTTCACTTTTACTCCCTAATAATAACAATCAAAGTATGTGATAAGTTCATAATTCTAAGATTTTAGGGCAAATTTTTTTTAAAAAAATTCCGAGACTTCAAAGTACACAAGTTTAAAATAAAAAACTATGATGATTGCACCCCTGATTAAAGCTTCTCCAAAGTTGATCCGCCCCTGTCAAATAAAATTGGACCACAATATGGAATCTCGGCATTACACATGCGTACCGGATCCACCGTCTTATCAAACACTAGCATAATATTGTGTCCTAGCAATCTACAGCTTCATATATATATAAGAATCATAATATTTTTTAGAATCTTGGGAAAAAATGACTAAATACTTTTAGTCTAATAAGTATCACAAACTAACATGATTATTACAAGTTTTTAATACTATTTTTGTTAGAAAAAAATAACATAAAATTTTCATTAAATTGTCGTGATTAATAGACGATGGTGTAAGTTGACACAGGGTGCACACAAAATATATATTTTGGATATTTTATCCCTATTTATTTCATATAAGTACTCCTTCAACCGCCTTCTCTCACCGTACATTTTAGACTTTTACCCGTTCAGATAACACTGTTAATATATATATATTTTCTTGTAGATATAAAAGTTTGTATTAATGTTTTTCTCTAAAAAAAAAAATAGTTTTTGATGGTTTTATGTTAGACCCATAATTAACTTGTGGCCAAATTATGCAGGTTTTGGTGGAAGTGGGAAACGCCAGCGCACGGGCAGTGCCGGAAATGGAGGTAGATGGTAAGGAAAAAATCTCGGAAGGAGATAATAATAAAATGAAAAGGGAAGAGAGAGTGATGAGATACAAAGCCAAGAGGCAAAGCAGACTCTTCGCTAAACGAATCAGATATGAAGTCCGAAAGCTCAACGCAGAGAAACGTCCCCGAATCAAGGTAATAAAACTCTCGACGAAAGTAATATATATTCATTCATTCGAAACAATTTCCTATAGTCTGATGGTCTGATTGAGTATTAATTGCTTGACATGTGCATGATCAATCTTTAAACTTTCACATCATGATTACTATGATTGAGTATTAATTGCTTAACTAGGAGCTTTATAGTGTCTCTTGCATGTGAAAAGGTGAGGGGAAAGAAGAAAGCAATCTTTCTGAAGATTTGTTATAGTCTAATGTGAATCTGGATTTGACCAAACTGATCCTTTTCAATTAAGGCGGTAATTGAAGAAGATCCAATTGTCTTAGTCATCATCGCTTACTTCAACTTCAAGTGATAAGACGATGTCACGTAGAATTTTCCATCTATGTTGAAAACCGCTATTGTTTTAAAGATCACTGTTGTGAGGATCACGATTTGTGATTGTGGAAATCCTATGTGGTGTCATCTTATCTCTTGAAATTGGAATGGACATTAAGAATTTAAATAATTGTACCCTCTCCAATTACCATCTAATTAGAGATGATATATATGAATCCCACATACTTCAAAATTTTTGTGGGCGTCACGTCCTTTCCCCGCCTAAATTGCACAGTACCAAAACCCCATCATCCATACCTTCAATTGCACTTAACACGTTATCAAATCATTTATTAGTACTTAATAGTCGTGAATTGTTACTTTTAGAAAGATGAGTTACAATCTCATGAACTAAGGGAGGCTAATAAGTTGCAATCTTATGAACTAAGAGAGGCTAACCGCTGATAAACGAGAGTTGATGGGTGTTAAGTACAACTGATGGTATATAAAAGCGGGCTAGTTATGTGTAATCTACTTTATGCGAGTTACATAGACTTTTCGGAAAATTATCATAATTCATAAACTTTCACGTTTTATGAGGAAAAAAAATTGTAGTATTTTGGCAAAAACAATCCAAAACTCATAATAGTATCTTCAAATATAGACTCTTTTTTTGGGTAAATATTCAAATATAGACTTTTCTTGCACAGAGGAGTGATGAATAGATGAGCCTACTAATGGGTGTTTCCATTTCCTGTGCCAATAATGACGCATCAAAAAAAAAAGCGAGACATATGTGACCATTGAAGCCATGCGCGTTGTAGTCTTTCCATTATAGATCTTGTGAGCCCTTACTGGTGCAAAACAGGCAAATTATGCAAATGGACTGAAAGATGTCCTGACATGAGTACGTCTATGCCCCACGTTACAAATAAATAACATATCGATTTTAATCAACCAAACTATCTGCTTATTAATAGAAATCAAACTTTAATTATGTTAAGAACAGATTATAAGAGAGAGAGAGTTATATATACAATTATGACTTTCACACAAAGGGGGAGAAAAGGACAGACAAACCTAATATCCACAAAAATTTATAACGAATTGCATATTAGCGAATGATCCAAAAGATTAAGGAAACATTGCTGGATCACGTGGCACAGTTATAAAAAAAAAACTGTTTTAGCACTTAATATTACAATTTCCCCTGTTAAGCACACTCCAGCATACAAATGGTGCGCTGGTAAATAATGCTATTTTATGTAATGGTTAAGTGCATACGCACTGACTCTGACAGAGATATGAAACTGCTGAAATATCAACTTACCACATGTAAACATAAATCCTTAACTTCAATCTCAAATTTACCTCCTGCCACCGTCAAAGCCAACAACCATAAGCAGAAAATTGGATTGAATACTAGAGGTGATTGTTCTGAGCTCAAAAATGTGCTCCCCCTCTGCACAAATTATGCAATGGACTATTTAAGGTACAACCAAAACAGTCATCTTTTGTTAGTGCTATAATCAGAAGCATCACTCCACTGAGAGATACCCAACTTTTTGTCTCTGGACCAGACAAATTCTCAGCCTTAGCTCCGAAATAATTGAGTCAGTCTGCTATAAGGAAAATACTCACGTAAATAATGAGTCAATCTGCTATAAGGAAAATACTCATGTAGTCTTCATTCGTTACATGATTGGATAGGATAATGATTGTAACATTTGCAGTATAGAATACGCACAAAACAAAATCTCGTAAGTTTGAATAATAGCAGTAATCAAGATACTCGCGGTTTTAACATATGCTTTTCATTGTTAGAATATCATTGTTTTCAGTAAACAGGTTGACAGTAATGGCGTCAAATTGTTCAAAGTTGCTATAATACATGTCTATCTACTGTATATATATCATGATCAGGATCACAACTTCTGGTTCTCAATTTGTATTCTATAACGTAAAAAACTTGCTGCATTTATGTGCAAATGAATCTACTTTTGTTTAGGACTCCGACATTTGAGTTGGTTCAGGGTATAAGACTGCCATGTTGTTCATGCTAGGTACTTATTTTATTAATGCTAGATGAAGATAATAAGCATGTAATTATTAGCAATTGATGTTCAATGAAATACTTTGGATATAGTCTAATTATTACTGTATCTTATGTGCAGGGTCGATTTGTGAAAAGAGTCGATGATATGTAAGGATGTTTGTTTGTGAGCAATAAAATGAAGAATTGAAGATCACTTCAAGAGTTGGTTTCATCTTCTTCTTGTGCATTAATACAAAAATTAAAAATAAAAGTATTTTATTATTGACTGTATTGATTGTAGAACATTAGTGCATTAATGAACTAGAAGAGGTGAAGTGATATATGAATTATGCGGCAGCCTTCCTGATGGTATGATTTCCTAATTAATGTGGGCAAGAATGGCACAAAGCTATATTAGTATATCTATACTTTCTGCCAATGAAAGTCCAAGATGCTAACACGGGTAAATAACACTAGCAATTAAAGCAATCAGGACGAATTATTTGTCAGAATGGGGGGTGTTATGGTGTTCACATTCGCTAAAAGTACAAGCTCATTGTCAAGCAACGGACAAGTATGTTACATGCTATGCCCTAATCAACTTGGCGGCAGAGACCAGCGGGGAGGACCACTCCGCTGACTCAACGACTCGACATTCCTTCATGTTGACTCGAAAAGCGAAAGTTGTCGACCCCCCTTTTTGTCGAATACGACTCGCCACGAGTCCACTCGACCATTTGCCAGACACCTTACGTAGCCGACTCGAAAGGCGTTACTGCACGGCCAAGTCAAAGGACAACTTTTTCCTTGAGCTTATCCTCGCTAACAATGTGTCAAGATCGCATAAATGCTTGTCAGGCATCATCATGCCTCTGCCTCGACATTCTTCATGACTTATTGGGCCATGTTGTGCTTCACGCGCCACGCGTCACATTATGTCAGCGTCAATCACGCAGCTAGTCGCCAGCCGACATCTGTAAAGCAAGTGCTAACGCAACCGCCAGCACACGCTTCTTCACCACCATCCTGTGCTCGGCCATAATGACGGTTCTACCCCTCATCCCCACAGGTATAAATACATGTACTATTCTACATTGCATAGGAAATCTTGGTTTCCAAATCTAATCCTTAAGCAATTGCCATGCACAAGAACTCTCAGCTCTCAGAGTTCTTATTTACCTCATTCAAGTTCACCAGCTGACTTGATCGTTGGAGGTACCACAGAGGATCCAAGCCCCGTCCTCTCACGAGTCTTTTCCTGTGCAGGCTGAGCAGATACCCTAATTCAAGAACTAGACATAAAGTCTGGGGAAAAAATAGCCCCTTCATCCATCCATCATCATCTCGTCGCATCGCGGATGCATATTTGACTGTGTGATCTCCAGCGGTATCAACAATTTGGCGCCCACCTTGGGGCCTCTTTTCTTTTTTGAGAAACATGTCAAGTTCTGATCAAGGGTCTGATCAGCCTCACCCTGTAGAACGACATCAGATCTACGCTACTCAAACCCAGCTCGAGGAAACAGCTCAAAAGATCTCTTAATCTATCCAAGAGAAATTCGCTGTCTTCTCCAGCAAGCTTCTCAGCCGGCTTCCACAGCCGCAACGAGCTACCTCAGCTATCCCTCCACCTTCTGAGGACCGACAGTCAGAGACTCATTCTCTTGTCAGGGTCTAACGAGTAGTTCAGCCTCGGACTCCTCATGCTGTTGCCAAGCAGTTGGGGGATCGTGTCAAGCACACGACCCCGCCACCTCATCGGTCGACTCGCCGACGTCTCCTCCATCATCAAGAGCTTACCGGCGAGAATTCCGGCACATGCAACCTTGGGCATCGCACTAGGGGAGCGATCTCTAAGACTCTCCCCCCACCGTCGTGCCTCTCCAGCCTTCTTGGCTACCATAGCGGCCTTTGGATACGACCGAGTGTACAGACCGGTCGGGATGCCATCTAGGGTAACACCCTTCTTTCAGATAACCTCATATATGCCCCATGTGAGAAGTTCAAGATGCCTCATATAGAGAAGTACAAAGGCGAGGAAAACCCCTCCGAGCATGTTCACAATTACTATGATGTGATGAGTATGCTCCAAGCATCAGAAGCAGTCATCTATCGATGCTTCCCCATCACTCGTTCGGGGAGTGCCAAGCTCTGGTGGAACACTCTTGAAAAGAAGTCCATCAGCAGCTTCCAACAGCTCAGCCGGAAGTTCATCCACCACTTCCTGGCTGGTACCAAGCAGAAACTGACCCCCCATGTGTTAATTCAGATGAGAGGGGCCCAGAGAGAGGCTTCGAGCCTACTTCAAAAGATTTCAAGCCAAGAGGTTGGAGGTTAATGACCCAGGGAGTGCAGTCGCCATGACCGCTCTCGTTGCCGACCTGCAGAACAATGAATTGGTCGACTCGCTTGCCAAGAAGTCAGTCGCCAATTATGAGCAGTTGATGGCCAAAGCACACGGGTACATGGACATAGAAGATGCCCGAGCATACAAAGCGTCAGCCGAGGCCACAGAGACCTACACGGCCACGTCCTCAATCACAACAGGATAGTCGACCCCCAGTGTCCAGCCATGAGGGAGTCATCAACATGATCAGTTTTCAACAAACTGTACAAAATTTCATTCATTAAATGAAATCCTTTCAAAACTGACTTGATTCTTGTTTTGCACTACCGTAGTGCCCAATTTATGCAGGAATATTAAGCCCTTGGTGCCCGTTTAGGAATAAACCCAATGCACTCACCATATGGTCAACTCTCACAGTCGCCTCTCGACCATAATGGCTATATTGAAACCTAAGCGCAACGTAAGTCCTGGACACCAACCTCATGTTAGACCCTAGAGGGGGGTGATTAGGGTCTTATGCTAATCTAATCCGATTTAAATGCCAATTAAAATTAATTAACAAGTATATTCTTGCAAGATAGATATACAAGAGTTATAAGCAAGAATAAGCAATATGAATAAAGAGATATATCCTATATGATAAATATATGCAAGGATATATGAACTAGCACAAGATGATATATCCTACCAAAGAGATATACAATATGATATATGCTAGGATATGTAAACTAACACAAGGGTAAACAATATGAACTAGATAGTGAATGATAAAAATAATGAGCTATGGACAATGGCGACAAGAAATATAAACATAAGATTAAGTGCGCCAAACCAAACTCAAACACACGATATGATCACGGAGTTCGGACCTTCCGTCCTACGTCTCCGCTCCCCACTCCCGGGGAGAAATCCACTAACACAATCCGATTTGGAAGCCGGAACTTCTACACACTCGGTTTCCAAGTTCACCGAAAACTCTCACACAACAAACACTATGCAAACACACTCTACACCCACTAAGTGTTGAACTAGACGTGTCTCCCTCAAGTGCTTGGTTACAACCTCTCTCTAGGTTCGTCAACCGACGCCACTCATCTTGGGACGATCCCCGATTCTCGCCACACACCTCTCTCTTGGTGTACAAGTGTATTACAAAGTGAATCTCTCAATAAGCACAATATAACAAATGATTGTTCTCTCTAACAAGGTGAGAACTCAATTAGGCTCAACTCAATATCACACAATCTCACAACCCAATTATATAATGTATGCAAATACAATAAGCTCAAATGGGTGTGTGTAAACAATGAGTGAAATCAAAATCAAAACTAAACTCAATTAAAATCTAGCATATAGAAATTATAAACAAAATAATAAATAGCTAGAAATGAGTTTAGAGATTCTTCTCTGAATAACAAGATGGAGAGATGGAGATTGAAGCCCAAACAAGAAGATAATCTCCTCCACTTGTGAAAACCAAAAAACAGCTTTAAACCAAACCCTTAAACAAGTTTAAACCCTTTTTAAAACCCTTGTTAAAACCTTCTTGGATAGTTGAAAAACAACAGCAATAGGGTATTTATACCCACTTGAAATCTCAGTCAAAAACTCCCAAAACAAAAGACCAAAAACCCTAGCCAACGGTAACAAAAACTAGCCGTTGGAAACAGTCAGACTGAGCGCCGGTCGACCGAAGAAATTTGCGGTCGACCGCGATGCAGATCCCAGACTGGGAAAACATGCGGGAACTTCGTCGGTCGACCGATGGAGCTCTCGGTCGACCGCACCGGTCGACCGACCAACTCTCTGCTGCATGGTGACAAAAGAACACATGATTGGTCGACCGGTGCGGTCGACCGAAAACTGACACAGCAGAAAAACAGGTTATAGAGCTGATTTTTGAGACTTTTGAAAATATGTAAAAAATAACAAATGAAGTCCAAAAATAATGAAACTTTAGAAAATGTATATAAACATGAAAACAAACATGTTACAAAAAGAATTTTCCAAATTGCATTTCCCATTTGTGAAAAATCATCATTTTGCAAAATAGTCCAAAACACGAAAATGTAAACATGTGAATTTTGATATTTTGGCTAAACCATGTTTTAAAACTTTGCACAATGATTATATAGACTTAATAAAGTATGTATATGATTACTGTTAAGTCCAAAAATTAAGAATACAATATTTTCACAAAATTGCATATTCTATGCAATATATATAAAACACAATAATAAATATGAAACATGTGATTTCATATTTATAAACATGAAAACTCAAAATAATCATAAAAACTCAAAACACATGTATGTATATATATAACTATATATATGCATAGAAACCAAAACTTCTGTATATGTATATAACTATATATATATACGAAGAAACCAATAAAATGTGTGTGTATATTATATTGAGCTTAGAGTATCTAACACATAATATAAAATCTAAACTAAAGTTACCCAAGCAATGATCTTGATCTTCATTGTAGCTCAGCTTGGTACACGTTGCGGATGAAGCTTGAACTTGATCTTTAACTATGAATTGCAAGGCTTCAACCCAACATTTCACCAACCTCCATTTGATATGATCGTTAAAGCTCTATTCCATCCATCCTCCAACACGTTGTTTGTCTACAATACATAGGAAAACACAAATACTAGACAAACAACATTAGTTGTAAATTGTTTGTTAAACATCATCAAAACAAGAAGGCCAACAATCTCCCCATTTTTGATGATGACAAACAATTTACGAAAAGAGATATATGCATGAAAGGAAATGAATATTCACATGCATATAAACAAACAAGATAGATATACTCACAATATTTCTCCCCCTTTGACAACATCAAAAAGGGGACAAAGGAATTAAGAGAGCGAAAGCTCCCCCTATCAATAAGCATAGGTGAGTATCAAACAAGTATAGGGAATGCTCCCCCTATCAAAAAGCCATATAGAATATAACCAATAAAAATCAAGGCAAAATATGTGAGCAAGCATACATGAATATGCTAAATATCACTCACATACAAAAAGATAACGAGAACATATATAAATATATCAAAGTGAAAAATAATGTCTCATATCAAAGATCATAAAAATTATGTATAAAAGTAGATTTATGAAATCAAAAGAAAGGGAACATGAGAATCATGAAAACAAATCAACCAAATGAAATCATAAATCGAATTTTAAGTCTAAAGGCAATGTTTGATCAATAAAGAAAACTTTCTTTGAAGGGCTTGATCAAACCACATAAAGAATACATTATAAAGCATATTTGAAATATGAATCATCTATTTATGCTATATAATGAATTCAAAAGAACAAATCAAAACAAAATTTTCATAGTTCAAAAATAAGATTATAAAACATACAAAAATCAAGAACAAAAAAAATCATCTTTAAAAGTATAAAGCCAAATCATCATTGATTTTTAAAAATCAAGAGAGACAACTATATCTAGCTCTTGAGCTAGTAGCAACCCATATAAACATTCTAGCATCCGGTAAACATGATTTGGGAATAAACACCCAATAAATCCGGAGGGTAAACATTCTAGCATCCGGTAAACATGATTTGGGAATAAACACCCAATAAATCCGGAGGGTTATATAAGGTCAAACCTCTCATCAAAATAAAACCAATAATCATGAAAACAAAAGAGTTTGACCAATAAAAGGAATTGTTTTCATAAAAGTTTAAAATACATTTTTCAAAACCAAGAAAAAGAAAAATAAAAGTACTAATATTCTTGGCTTAAAAATTATTTTGGCACCCAAGTATTCTTGGTGCCGGTTTGTTTAGGGACATGACCCCTGTGCAGGCTGAGCAGATACCCTAATTCAAGAACTAGACATAAAGTCTGGGGGGAAAACGGCCCCTTCATCCATCCATCATCATCTCGTCGCATCACGGATGCATATTTGACTGTGTGATCTCCAGCAGCATCAACAGTGAGTGTCTATCAAATTGGCCATCAAACTTAGACACATTGAGATGTTGAATACTCTCAACTGGATAGGCCAATTTATCTTATGAGACCCAAAAGATTGAACTAATCTGTCTGGTATTTTCATATCATGGAATGTGTACTGCCTCCTTGCAAGAGCAAAGGAGCTGCAGATGTGGTCATAAGTCATAAAACAAATATCAGTATTAGCAATACAATATACACCACATATATAAAATAGTAAAGCGAGGTTTGAGCAAAAAGATACTTCTTTTACATATCCAACGTAAAGATTGAAACAATAAAAGACTATCAAGTATCAAGTAGTTTGTTTGTTTCCAGTCCACAGACATTTTTCTATTTTAGAGTGTGGCTGAAACATATGAATCTGATGAAATTTAAAGCATCTACTCTATTTGGTTGGTCATGACACTGGTGTAGCCATTCGCTTTTAATTCAAATCCCCTACCCCATATATTTTTGCGTACCCCAAACCTAGAGTTTTGCTTGAAAGTTTTTGAGGGTTTGCAATAGCACTCAAAACTCCCAGCCACTTTTGGATTCATGGAAAAACTCTACGCAAAATGAATTGGGATTGATGATTTGGTTTAAAATTGAATGATTGTACAAACCACACCTCTATCATGACAAAATGAAGTAGATGTTATAACATTCATACAACTCATATGTGTCAAACGCGTTCAAAAAATAGAAAAAAATACATGTGGATTGTGACACAAATACAGTACTTAATAGTCTTCTCCTGTTTTAATTTTTAAGTTAGATCTATAGAAAAATATTATTTTTAAGTTAGCTCTAGAATACCGGTGACTTCATTTGATAAACGACTAGACACCAGCTAATTAGTGGTCATGTTGATAGACTCTTATCAGCAACCAGAAATCAGTATCAAACTGTCAACTTGGGTTGCAAGTGAGGCTCAAACTCAAGCCACGATAAGAACACAATCAGGAAAGGAAGTAATGTACCATATGATTTGATCAAATATGGGTCTTTTAAATTTTTGGACCAATGAAAGTCTTGACCAGATAGACATACACAATTTGATGAACAACCAATAGTATTCTTAACAAATCCAATTAAAATTTAAAAAATGAAAAGCATAATGCCTGAAGCATAGAAAAAAACTAGACAATCAACCAAATGCCTAACACATATAGGCATCGAAGAAGCAATAGAAGACTAGCATTTTCGCCATGGGAACTGAAATATATTGATAAGTCAACAAAAAAACTATAATATTTGTCCATGACAGTAACAATTACGTCATAAAAAGGGTTCACTGAAAGGAATATCTTGCTAGTTTAAAATGGCACTTTTTTAGGAGACCAGTTTAAGGGTTCACTGAGTGAGCAATCTAATAAATGCATCTAAAATAATGAGCAAACATCCAGTGTAATCTTCAAAGAGTAAAACATTGAGAAAGAATAAAAATACAGGAGAACAAACACGTATAAATACTGACCTTCAGTCCATTGATGAATATGAGGAGCTTCTTGTAATGATCTTCGAAACTGATTTACTCATTAGACTTCAAAACTTTCAAGTATACAAATAATTCACAACATACATGCTATTCTTTATATGATCGACAATCTTCAGTCACATAAAGGCTCATTAACTAGAATCTTCATTTTCTCCTCAAGAAACTCAAGCACATCTTCCCTATGCTCTTCCAAGAGCAATTTCTTCAACCTTCCAAAAGTTGTACCCGGCGGCCTAATCCCCTTCTCAATCATCTCCTCTAAAAAAACACAAGCTTTATCAACTTCACCCTTCTCACACAGCCCATTAATGAGCACTGAGAATGTGTGCATACTAGGAACAAACTGCTTTATCCTCATATACTTCCACACTTTCATAGCCATCTCCAACCTATCACTCTCAAAAAACATCTTGATCATCATCGTATAAGTATCCGAATCAGGCTCACAAATCTTAATCATCCTCCTAAACAACCTATAAGCCTCATCATTTCTCCCTAAACCAATCAAACAATTCAAAATTATATTACAAGTCCTCGAATTAGGAACAACCCCTTTCTCCCCCATCTCCCCCAAGACCCTATAAACATTCTCAAACCTATGAACTTTACAAAATGCAGACACCAACGCATTATAAACCGCCACATCCGGGATCACCCCATTCCTCTCCATCTCCAAAAACGTCTCCACCGCATCCTCAATCCTCTTCTCAACACCATAACCATGAACCAAAACGCTATAAATAAAAGAAGTCGGCGGGCAATCTCTAACCCTCATCTCCCTCACAACCTCGACCGCCTTCTCAATTCTCCCGGCCTTACACAACGAATCAACCATAATCCCATACGTTACTATATCGGGCTCGCACCCTCTCTCAACCATCTCATCAAACACCTCAAACATCTTCGGCAAATTCGGGGCAAGCCCCCATCCTTGTAAGAGTATACTGTAGGTTTTCGAATCGGGTTCGAATCGTTCGGACATTTCATCAAACACTTGGTGGGCCTTCCTAACATTCTTCGCCTTGCACAACGCACTTAGCAAACTATTGAAAGAGGAGAGGTCAGGGGCAATACCGAACTTGTCCATGACGTTGAAGGCGTAGAGGGCCTCGTCGAATTTCTGGGCGCGGGCGTAGTTGCGGATGATGATGGCGAAGGTCTCGGGGTTGAGGAGGGAGTGGCGCTTCATGGAGGAGACGAGGGACCACATGAGGGGGTACTGTCGGATCTTGGCGAGGGAGGAGACGGTGAGGTGGTAGGATTTGATGGAGGGCGGGAGGTTAGGGTTAGGGTTCTTGAGGTGGGCCCAGTGGAAGAAGCGGGCAGAGGTTGGATTGGGAGAGGGTTTGTTCGAGGAGGGAGGTCGGGGTAGTGAGGATGAGGTTGGAGATGAAGGAGATTGGGTCACCGGAGGTGAGAGGTGATCGCCGTAGAGACCGAGAAGTGGAGGTTTTGATCATGGTGATGTCGAGAAATGGAGAAGGAGACGCGGCTCTTTCGATAAATTCGAAGAGTGCTCTGTTCGAATCTTTCGATGTTTAGGAGGTCGAGGACTTTGGGTTCAAAGTTCTAGTAGAAACAGTATCTTGGATGATTCATACACTGAAAAAGATTTTTACTGTAATCTATACTTCTCAAAATTATAACCAGAGCTATTCATCTTTACAGGTCGTCACGGTTTGGAGGTTCTAATATGACTCTCACAATACTTCAATTCGATTCGAGACTAGGCTATCGGAAAAAAAAATTAGTTAGTAACCAATGTTGATAGTCTGTTACCTAACAATAACCGTACTGATATTAACTTTGATGCCAAAACATATAAGCTGATTATTATGAAACAACATTGAAATTTGACAACTTATTATAAAACCGTTATTTTTTTCATTATTGTGAGCGCGAGACACCTCAGGGTATCTTGGGTGTCTCGGCTGGGGCCGAGACACCTCGGGGTGTCTCGGGCGTAACCGGAGCGAGCGGGTTGTTTCCGTTTGGATCATGTTTCCTTGATATAAATACGAACTTCGTTCCTAGGGTTTTTTGCAAAGTAGAGGGGTTGTCATGAACGAAAAAGAGAGAGTTTTTCAGATCTGAAAAATGTGAGATCTTGAGGAGAGAAAAGAGAGAGTGCTTGGAGAGATTGTACAAGAAAGATGTCTCTTGGGTAAAATCAAAGCCTCATCTATGGGACGAGCTTGTGGGTTGCGCAAGTCGTCGGTGTTCTCCATCATAGTGAAATCTCCCTTCTCCCCCGCTCCCCGTGGACGTAGGCAAGTTTGTCGAACTACGTAAATCTCATGTCTTCTTTATTGTTTTCTGTGTATTTGCCACTGATTGTCGTTCTCTCAATATTCAGATCTAGATTTGATATCGGGAAGAGTGTATATCTCACCTTGCTGAGATATTCACTTCTGTTCTTGTTTCATATCGAAACTGGAACATCGAGGTTGGCTTGAGTTTTGTGAAAACAAAAGTCAGGGCTTTCTCTCAAGTTCATTATTTTTCTTCTGTGGTGAGTCATCATATCATCCCCCAACACAGAAGATAATTGACAAATTACGAAACATAACACAACGAATCAACCATAATCCCATACGTTACTATATCGGGCTCGCACCCTCTCTCAACCATCTCATCAAACACCTCAAACATCTTCGGCAAATTCGGGGCAAGCCCCCATCCTTGTAAGAGTATACTGTAGGTTTTCGAATCGGGTTCGAATCGTTCGGACATTTCATCAAACACTTGGTGGGCCTTCCTAACATTCTTCGCCTTGCACAACGCACTTAGCAAACTATTGAAAGAGGAGAGGTCAGGGGCAATACCGAACTTGTCCATGACGTTGAAGGCGTAGAGGGCCTCGTCGAATTTCTGGGCGCGGGCGTAGTTGCGGATGATGATGGCGAAGGTCTCGGGGTTGAGGAGGGAGTGGCGCTTCATGGAGGAGACGAGGGACCACATGAGGGGGTACTGTCGGATCTTGGCGAGGGAGGAGACGGTGAGGTGGTAGGATTTGATGGAGGGCGGGAGGTTAGGGTTAGGGTTCTTGAGGTGGGCCCAGTGGAAGAAGCG